CATAGTTAGAGAGTTTGCAGTAAAGGATATATGATGATTTCCTTTTATTTTCCCCCCTTTCTAACATTTTGAGTTCATGGTTTGGAGTTTTTTTATTCATATGTTTCGTTCGTTGTTTTTTTTTCTTCTGTGGGTTGACTTTAATGTACAATGATTTGGTTACAAACACATCTATATAGATTGGCCCATTGGATAAATGGGGTAAAATGCTACTTTGGGGTCTGTTTCGAGGGCCCTGGAAAAAAAAAAACGTCACGGCTTTGTTTGTCTATGATTGGACTTACAGTCTGTAAGATTTAAGCAGTTAAATCAGTACCGTCTAGATTGAATGCTTTTACCGGGGCAACGTTCTGGCTTTTAAAAAATGTTGGATGGCTCAAACCAAATAAAGATGGACGTAAAACAGCGCCATCTGTAGTGAACCGGGCGCAAATGATTGGGTTGGGATCAACGACGTCTCTAGTCGTCCACGTTTCATATTACATCTTTATATGAAGAAAATGAACCAGAGGTATTGTTTTAATAAAAAAAATTAAACAATATAATTATACATATATCTCATGATCTTGAGAGAGTTGTTTTAATATATAAGAATGTCATGTAATGATCAAAGGCGATATAACACAACTATTTGCCTACCGAAAGACTGATCCTAAGAGAAAAATTGTAATATACGCCATTTAAAAGTGTTTTAAGACATCGGTTACCTTAATCTAATCATTGAAAGAGGGTGATTTATTGATTTGTAATGCCTTAAATCAATTAAATCAAATTAAATTACCTTCCATCCGCTTCACAGGCATGCCAAATAATTATGTGGCAATATTTTATGTTTGTGATCGTGTAGAAAATACGTCTTCTGTTTCGTCTTGGTCATTGTTACGATAATCGAATAAATAGGTTAATAAGGTGTGTACTTGTTTGAATGTGGTTATCCGATTTATTTACTTATCTTTTTGATATTTTGTTCTTGCTCTGATATTTTGTTTGAATCTTCTTATTTAGTATTTCATGTAATAGTTACAAATGTTCTTCTTCATTTAAGTCTTATCCCCCTCCCCGGTTCTCTCTCTCTCTCTCTCTCTCCTCTTTTCTCTATTCCCTCTCTACCTCTCTCTTTCTCTCTCATTATCCCTCTCTCTTCCTACTCTCTCTCTCTCTCTCTCTTTCTATCATTCCTATCTCACTTTCTCGTTCTCACTCTCTCTTCATATTTTAAATACCCCTCGTATATTTTATCACCTCTCTGTCTCACCATTCTCACCATTCTCACATGATAAAACACATTCAAACACGCGCCTACACATATACATGTACTTAGCCACTATTTTCCCCTGTACCTGTTTTCAAGGCCATTTCATGTTTTGTTTTCTTCTAAAAATCAATATATTCGCTCTAGTCTCCCCCCCCCCCCCCCCTTATACATATATATGTGTGTCTCTCCCCCTCTCTCTTTCTCTCCTTTTCTCTCTGTGACTGTATCTCTCCCTCTGTCGTGGATTCTCTCTACCTCTCTTTCCCTCCCTGTCTGTTCCCCAAGTAGACTTAACAATAATAAGTATTATTACCCGTATCAGACATCTGAGCTGGTCATTTACAAAACCGTATTGCCCCAGTTTTCACTAGCAGTGGGAACGGAGGGGTATATTCTTTGTATTTTCCTCGGTCTCCCTGCACGTATTGACTTTGCGTGTAGAGACAAGTGAAAATATACCTTGGTATTTTCCACGGTCTCGCATCCGGGCGTCTCTTATACCCTTTTCACATCTACCAAATATTGCTTAACCCCGGGAAATAGGTGGGGCTAAGGGGGCTCTTAGCCCCACCATTTCCTTCCTTAGCCCCACCAATTACCCGGGGTAATTTTAGCCGGCTTTCTGTTCACATTACGTTTTGCCAAAGTGGGCTAACCCCACAAATAGTACGGGACTATCTGGCCCTGCAAAATAGCAGGGTTAGCCGGGCAATTGCGGGGTTAGCCGGGCAATTGTGGTGCTAAGCTGCGTAGTGTGAATCCGAACCGGGCTAAGGAGAAGCGGGGCTAAGCAACAGCCAATCACAGACAGCGTGGTCGTGTGGTCGTGAATTTGCATTTATCGCGCGCTATGCATGCAGTTCACGTTACGCATGCATGCAGTTCACGTTACGCATGCATGCTCTCTGTATTGACGTTTAGTCTTTTACGAGGCAGAGGTCATTATGAAAAAATCATTTAGTCGAAAGGCGCATGCGCGGTAGCAAAAGCATTAATATTCATGAGCTATCGAATAGTCCGGGGCTAAGGCGAACGTAGTGTGAATCGCGTGAAATTTCTTAACCCCGGCTAAGCACATAGTCCGGGGTTAAGAAAATAGATGTGAACAGCAAAAAAAATAGTATGGGGTTAAGGATAGTATGGGGTTAAGGATAGTCCGGGGTTAAGAAAAATAGATGTGAAAAGGGTATAATTGACCGCGCCGTATTGTTTCATTTTCATTGCGCATCTATTACGCGTACGAGAACCTACGCACTTTGCGCGCACTCTATTGTGACGTAATAATCACACCAAATGCACACTGTTTACAGTGTATCGAAAATTTTGTCAAGCACTGGATGCACAGTGCTGGTTTGACAAAGTTTGTTCAGTTCTTGAGATTATCATGGTGGATTTCTGTATTTGCTCTAGATGTCTGATTTGGATAACAATAAAAATATTGACTGGCTTTACTTTCGGGGGATATCAGAAATATTGACCGCGCTAAGACCATATTGCCCTCGTCTTTCGACTCGGGGCAATATGATCTGAGCTTGGTCAATATATCTGATATACCCCTCAAGGCCAGTCAATATTATATAAATATCTCCCCCAAAATATGCTTCATTTATTCTCTTTCAGTCTTCGTCAATCTTACAAAAAAAATGATACAAATTAAACTTGCGTTCTATTTCAAAAGTAGGGTTTATTACATTATTTTTTTCTGTTACGTTTTTACAATGGCACGGTGCGAAAACTTCTCAGGTAACTCCACAAAAAGTTTTTATGTTACAAACTATTTAGCCCTTAAGCTTTTATTCACCAAAGGGAAAACATTCGACCAAGATGTATGCATCAATATATTAATTTAAGAAATATGTATTATTCAAATATCATATTTTGTAACATACATCATATCATGGCATTCTGTGAAATAAGTGGAGGGTTCCAGGCATGTGTTTTCCTCTACAATTTTTATTTTCAAAGGCTCGTTTAATCCAAGGGCTCACTAATCCGGAAGTTTATTATTCCAGAAATTCGCAATTACACATAATCTTTTATTCAACAGTTCAAATGATGAAATGGGAAGGGTAAAAAAATGGGGTTCAATATATGTTTTGGAATCATAAACCTTCACGAACACTCACCCATGATACCAAGGAGGAACGTAACAATCTTGAATTTCTAATTTGTATGTTTCAATTACAACATTAACAGTAGCATATTTTAGGTGGGATTTTCTTAAACTTGCCCTGATATTTTCCTGTATTAAATTTTTTTATTCCTTTGAATTTGGGATATTTTGTTTGCTTTTCTAAAATAACAACATTTTCAGATTTCATCTACGTTTTGAATAGGTGAAATCCGGAAGAGGATTTCAGCTCAAAAGAGTTGTTATAGTTTTGTTTTGTTTCACTCCCTGATTTCAGATATACAAAGACTGATATCATCGGACACAGCTTTAAAAGCACGATAATAATACTAACAATACTATAAACCAAGAATTACCCAGTAAAAGCCACACTCCTTAATAAAGATACATACAAAATAAACCTCCCTCTTCCTTAACAAATACATGCATACTCTTTGTCGGTTTATTATCCAAAAGGGCATGCCATAATTCTAAATAATTAATATCCAATACACATAATATTCTTTTTCAGACTACTTTGGGAGGGAAATAGAGAACCCACTCATAGTGCTCAGCTAAGTATATAATTATTTGCCTTGAAAATAAAATGCATATCAATTCGGTGAAGAATTAACCCGTTGACTACTGAATTATCTAATTCCCATAAGCTTAACACAGGGACCACCAGGTTCCAGTAAGCAATGGGTTAAGAATGCAATATGGTTAATGATTTAAAATTAAAACGGTCTGCATCTTTGTTCACATGATTTTTAGATTGTAACACACACAAATATATATATATGTATATATTCATATTTATATACCTTCTTCTACGTTAAGCTGCCCCTATATTTCAGAAGAAAAGTGCACTTTGTACAAACAGCCAATACAAGTAACGAGCTCAAAATATTCAATTAGCAATGCAAGCCTGATTAAGCCAACAAGAAAATCTAATTTTACTTCTTTAATCATAAAGGGGCCCTTTCGCAATCAAAATACGACTCTGTAGTATTAAAACTTGTAGTTACAAGCAAACCATTGTTATTGTTTACATTGCGTATATCATTATAATTCATTTGGTATACAATACTTCGATATGTGACCAACAGCCCACGTGACCGACGACAGACGGCACTGGCAGCCTGCGGAAACGATATGGTTGTTATCATGGGCCGGGGTTCGGAGGGGGCAGGGGTTGGGAGGGGGCAGGGGGAGAATTCCGAGTTAGGGTGCTAACGAGATCGGCAGCCCAAACTTGGGGCGGGCGTGGTGATCTCGTGGACCCTCTGATCATCTAAGTGGTGGTAGTCGTGGTGGTCAATTGGGGGGGGGGGGGGGGGGGAGGAGGGCAGGGGGAGGAATCAGAGTTAGGGTGCTAACGAGATCATCTAAGTGGTGGTAGTCGTGGTGGTCGATTGGGTGGGTGGGGGGGGGGGGGGGGGCTGGGGGAGGAGGTGGGGGTGGGGGTCATTAGATTAACATGAATGATCTCGAGGACTCTCGGTTAGCTCATGTCATGTCGGTCACGGGGCTGTTACGCGAGATGTCCTGTTTTCGACTACATTTAATTTATTCATATAAACGAAAATCATTCATTGTCTTTAGCAAAGTCTTTTAAGTACGCTGAACATTAATTACAACTTTTTTTTTTCTTCATTTTCTACAATATACAATACATTTTGAAATTGTTTGTTCATTATTGTTTTGTTACAGGTCTATACAATTTATTTGATTAAAACCTGTAGGACCATTTTTTGTTCTCCAGAATTTGTTACCATCTTAAGATAAATAATAATAGTGACAATGAGATATCACTCAACTTTTAGAAAATTAAAATATTAATATATATCTGCACTCTAAAATAAAAGTTTACAAATAGCAAAATAGTTAATATTCTTAAATAATTGAATACATTCAATTCAAGTTAAATTGTTTAAAGTCAAAATTAACGACGCAATACGTCTTTCCCATAAGTATAGATATAGTCATGTATACATTTACACAACAGTTTAGGATTAAATATTCTCTTGATCTTTCAACGAAAAAAAAAAATATAGAAATCTTAATATCTGATGTAAATTTACGAAGAAGCAAAATATTTTGTAAAATTTAGCTATTTCTTACCATACGTGCTTAATGATTCGCATTTTTCATTCTTCTCGTCTTTTGGAAAATAAAGGATATACAAAGCGAAATATTAAAATGTATGCCATTATGCTTTTTATATCGTTTTCTTTATAGCAGGCTATCATATAAATGAGAAACAAATAATAACGGTTACATGAAATACTCTATTTAAAAAAAAAAATGAAATTTAGGCCTACAATTTGTTTTTATATAATGGACAGAAACGAATCTTTCAAAGGTACGTCACAATGTACATGATGCAAGCCTGATATTATATTTACAACGTGAAATATATTATAAGAACTACTAAAATAACGAATGTAGCAAAATAAAAACCGAGTAATGAGTAAAAACGTCAACAACCAGATTCCGCGAGATTTATTTTTCTTTGTTTGTTTGTTTGCTTATCTACTTTTATTTTAGTTTTTATTTTCCAATTAAACATCTGATTTTACAGGATGTAACTGCCAAACTGAATGCACACGAATATTGTAATGGCATTTTGATCTAGAAATAGATCACAGAAATGAACCAAGAGAAAGACTGATCTTCCTTTCCGGGTAGGCCCGAGATCTCTAGTATTCAAAAGGACATCGCTAAGACTCGCGATTTACTGATACAGTCTGGTTGCTATGGTTACACATTGTCGAATGTCTCATTTTCAAGGTCATCGAGCATAGCGCGGATAAGGAGCAACTTGAGTTCTTTTGTCCTCAACTCCTCGACCTCTTGCTCCCTCGTGTCCAGAAAGGCCTGTGTGTCCTCGTCCAACCCCTGCCAGCCGTTAGCGGGCGCCCTATCAGCGAAGATTTGTTCACCTTTGAGTTCAGGCTCGTCCTCCGTTTGTAGTTCTTTTTCCCAGTCGTCAGGTGAATTCACCATGTCGCTTTCAGTCCTATAACAGCGCAATTTCAAATGAGAGAGAGAGAGAGAGGGGGGAGAGAGAGAGTTGAAGATAAAATATGAAACAGGAAGGAGAGAGAGAGAGAAAGAAAGAGAAAGAAGGGAGGGAAATAAAAAGACGAAGAAGATGATAAAGAGGAGGAAAAGAAAGGAGGCAACACGAAAAGTGTGATAACGAGATGAGATAGAGATAGAGACGGAGAGACAGAGAGGAAGAGAGAGAGGTGGCGGAATGAAGACAAAAAGATTGACATTGAGATAGTGAATATAATAGGCAATAGGCTTTTTTTATTGAGTCAAACAAACATTTTTACAATTCAGTGAAATTAAGTCTTTCCTTAACTCAAACAAAACAGAATAATGTTTATGGTCTGGATCGGTGAACATTGAAACAAAACGTTTCGGATTCGATATAATCTTGATATCTCGCAATAAGTTATCACTTTTAGCCTAGGTTAAAATTGATCTAAATTATATAATCATTAAACATGTATAGTAGGTAGGCTGCTTGAAAAAGCAGATTATTGAGCAATTATAACAGAGACTTGTTTGAAAACACAAGGCGCTGAATAGCAAGTGTGTTGTACTGATACAATATCACTCGACGAAAGGAGAGTATGAGAGAAAGAGAGAGAGAGAGGGGGGGTGAGTGACGATGAGAGGGAAACCAAGAAAGTGAGAAAAGGAAAGGAGAGGCGAAAAGGGTTATGTTCAGGAAGATAAATCGAAAAATATAAATTGGGCTTACCTTTTCATGATTTCATCAATTAGCCTTTTTGTAAAACCAATGTTATTGTGTGGACAATTTGGGTTTTTGTATAGACCACTGTGAAAAATGAAGGAGAAAGAATGAGAAATTAAATAACACGATTTATATTTAAAAAGTATACATGGTAATGCTTATATCAAAGAATTGTACATTTCACAGCAAATGCAGTACTTGGATCGTTAGAAAGGAATGGCGTTAAATATGTTCAGCTCGACAATCATTTCGATACAAATTTGTTAAATCTTTCCATGTTTAGCGCAAGTAATGTTTAGTTATTTTCTATTGTCTATGTTTGGTTATATTTGTTAATGTAGCTGTATAATACATCTTTTAAGGAATAATTTTGATACTTTAAAGAGAATTATAATTGGCAAGCGATACAATCAGTACATAAGCATTTTATGACAAACAATTTAAAATACCTTAATCACATGAAAGTCATTTTTTGATTTTGTTTTTCTTCGTCAAAAACATGTTTTCCAGAAGAGTGAGTAAAACGTTATTACCTATGAAATATCTTACAATAAGATATTCGAAAAAATCAAATAAGAATCAAAGATTTATTAAATAAAACATAAATGAAAATGGTAAGAGAAGAGGAAAATACATACACGCAATTTGGTCTTGGTCTGCTTTCACATATTGAACAGCAATGCATAAGTATGCATATAACGGAGAAAGATGCCCAGAACTTTAAATCCATCTTTCAAAGTACCTGCATGAAAAGAAGTAGAGAAAAAGTAGAGAGAGAGAGAGAGAGAGAGATGGTGGAGAGAGATGAAAGTCAAGCGATTAATATGTTGCAATCGAAACGACAATTCTACGTTACCAAAAATATAAATATTTTATCTCTAACATGGATAATTAATTCATAGATATGAACATCAATGTATTCAATACTTGCATCAAAGGTCTTAACGACGTTCTAAATTAACGACAACATTGAGCATAAACCCTTTTTGGTGTAATATTAAATTAGTTTTACCTAAATCAAATCCTAAAAGTGGCATGCATTCTCTTTTTATAAGACTTCGAAAGTATTCAAGAAATCAACCGTCTTCACTTTTTTCTTTTCCTTTTTTTTTTACGTCACGAGTGTGTAATGGGATTCAAGGGGCGAATAAACATGGTATTCAAGTCGAAAAGACTTCTTTTTGGAGGGGGCGGACAATTTGTAGAAAAGTAAAGGTGGCAGTGTCCCCACTCAAATATATTGAAAAAGCTTGAACAAACATGTGTGAAACGGTGAGAAGATTTGAATTAGCATCCCGTTTTCCGATTTACGCATGTAGATGCCGATCCTCCCGCTATCCCCTTTCCAATTTCCATTCCCACATGACCGCCACATTGAAGAAAGGCTAGACAGGGGTTAGCCTTGCCCCAGGCGCAGATGTCAAACAATACAGAAAATGGGTTAGCTAAACTAAATTGAAATTGCTATTTTCTATCCTCTTGCGCGTTCGGCGGATCGAATCGAGACATCATGAATAAAGAACGCAGAGGGGGACAAACCGAAGTTGGCTGTGTAAGCTTAAAGTCTTTGAGCGTCACTGCGAAGCTACATAAATGGCAAAAACATGAAGCAAAGGCTATTGTCGGTAAGGAAACGATTTAGATTAATTATTTTTGAAGGAGACGAGACCAAATATGATATTCAAGCCAAACGACAAGTTGATTCCTTGGAAGCTGTTCCTGGGACTTGACATTTGAATTTCATATTGGATAAGAATAGAAAATGTCTCGTAGGAATTGACAACACAGGTTGAAAACAATTGTATATACATGTACTATTGCCAATTTTGATAGACGGGGCTTCGTACAACTGTAATACTTCCTCTAATACTGTGTTTCTTAAAAAGGGACACCGATTTTTCACATCAATTACTAGAAAACTGGTGATGCCCTGAAAAAGTTTTTTTTTTAAGTCCACTTAATCGTCTTTTATATGATAAGGAAATGTGGCAAAACATAAAGAAACGGAGCAAAGATTGTTTTGCCCTTATTCACCTTTTGCTGTTAAAAAAAAACGAAATGGAATATTAACATCTAAATTATAGAATGAACAATTTGTTTGTGTAGCGGGGGGGGGGGTATTACACCATAACATATACACGAAATGAATGGATGCGCCATTACAAGAACCAAACTATGACGCTTCATACATTGTCCAATGCGAATATAAGGGAACAATACATCCTACATTATACATGAATGAGATGGGGTCAGGAATGTACGAGCTTTCATTGTTGTCTGTTCAAAGAAACACTCTGATGCTATGTGATGCCATAATCGAAACGGCTGTATTTCAGCGCCAGTCTAAATAACTAATAAGTACACGGTGTAGCCTCGGATTTGATATCGGGAACATAGATTTAATAGAAGTATAGACAGATGTGAATTAAACCGGTCAGTAGTCTTGAGAAATGTATCAAGGGTATAGCGTTTTTTTCCCTTGACCGTCGACAGCATCATCGAAAACTAACAACACTAGCTGAAATAGAGATGGTGATGATGATGATGATGATGATGTTGATCAAGATGATGATAATAGATGGATACATAGATAGTGATTGTTATTTTACCTGACTGCTAAGATAGCATAAAGGCTTAATAAGCAACCATAAGATTGATGGCTTTAGGTCCTCTCCGAGGGACCTGGTAATGAGGATTAATGCCTTACCAAAGGGCATTAGGTTTCGACTCTGTTTCGAACCCGGGTCGCCGGATAACGAGACCACTGCTCTACCGACTGGGCTATCACGCCTCGTTATGTTGATGATGAAGGTAAAGATGATGCTGATGATTGTGGTGTATGATGGCGGTGGCGATGATAGAAAATAATAATGATGATGATGATGGTGATTGTGATGAACTATGAATATTCAAATTCAGGAGATGCTATTGTTTGCATAAATGATGCAAGCATTTTGATGAAAACATGATGTTGGTGGAAGAAACATTGCTTTATATAATTATATGTTTTCTTGTTAGCGTCATAATGTCTTTGTTTGAAGCTATTTTATTTCTTACTGAGTTTATTTACTGAGATCATTAACATGCATATTACACTATTGTTAATGTTAAAGGTATTACAAAGTTTTGGTATGGGGTCATGAATTTGGTTCAAATTAACATATTGGAAACATATGCGTTCTTACAATATTCATTGATCGTTGTCCCGGTTGAAATTGAGTCTAAAGTTATGAAATTATAAATAATAAACTCTTTATGTTGTATAGCTCCCTCTCAAGGTCAAGATATCAATTTAGCTATGAAACAGTGTTTCTTGACTAAAATCTACCGATTAGCTATTCCTGTTTGGAAATTATTTATCACAACTACATATTCTGAAATTGTCATGGTCGCAGCTACCATTGTACGGCCGTAGGCGCTATTTGAAATTTATCAAAATTTACCGGGAGCACCGGTAAATTTTTATATTCAATTTTTCTCGAAAACAGAAGTGTTTTAGGGGTTATTTTTTTTAGTGCTTATAATATATCCACAGGGGCATCCAAATATATCAAAATTGTAAAGATTCACTATCCACCCAATTTTCAAAATTTCCCAAAAATTTGGTTTTACCTTTAATAGCATATACGAGATTAAACGTCAAAGCTAACGAATTAAAAACATATAATAAATTGAACAACTCCTCCATAAAAGAAGCGTCAATTCAAAATAAACGCATAATATCCTGAAAAGAGAAACTAAATGGTAACCTGTCCATTTTAGAACAATACGCTTAATATTCCACATTCCACATATTATGTAATGTTACTGACTCTTTGAAATATGCAAGAAATTGTGCAACTGAAAAGAGTCTTTTTGTGTCGCCATACAACATAAAAAACCTGCAGGCTAAGTGTTCTGGAAAAACTATCTACTCCACGCTTCTTCAATGGCAAAATCATTTCCCTTATGAGGCACGACTCAATGACGTGCCCAAAACATAATTGCACCGGGAAAATTAAGCAAATTTGATTTAAATTTGATTGTTAAAAAAGCCTGCTTCACAACGGGTATGGTGCGAAGAAGCTACTGATCACCGGCTCTATAAAACTTTCAACTTAACAAGACAGCTTCCCTTGTGATTCAGTTTAACAAACCGGAACAAAATCATGACGTCAAATATAATACGCGGGACTGGGTCTACCTAAATATGATATACATACATTCATTTTACGATGAATTGCACTGTTTAATACCCCAATAAACGCATTATATGTACGGGGTTGAAATGATCGCGATTGCAATTTTAAAAGAAATATAAGCAAAACGTTACAGATAAGAGCCCTCTATAGCTCAACATTTACTGTCAAAATCTCAGACAAGTGACACGAAGTACACTGTGTCTTTAAACATGACCATCTGCACTCTGCACTCTTCATGAAATCGTTTTACAATGCCTCCGTCGGGGGCAATTGAAATATCCATGAGTATTATTTGTAGAGTACAAGCATATAACCGGTCATTCTTAGTGCGTTAGTACTATTTAATGTCTCATAAAAAAAGAAAATGTCGTTGGTCTGTAACTGAAACTGTAGAACATGGTATTGTCAACTTGTCATGAACAAAAATGTAATATTTTATTTGTCAACTGCTCATAAATCACGAAGATGCATACTGCAACGGTTGAATAATTATGTCAAGTGCAATCGTAGGGTTCAATCAAAAGATTATTTTAGTACATCATGAGCAAATTGTTTGCTAGGATTTATCTCTGGCTGTTCTAAGGTATGTATGAAATGTGTTTAAAAAGGAAAATGGTTGACCCATTCGAAAACTGCCTGTTTAGAAGAATCGGCTCAATGCGTCCACTTCAAATATTTTCTTTGTTGTTGCTGTTCTACCTCTTATCGTCCTGATTATTCTTTCCCTCATCCTCCTACTTCTTAGTTTTCTTCTTCTTCTTCTTCTTCTTCTTCTTTCCGTCAACGTCTTCATATCTTCATTATCTTCTTCTCCTCCTGCTTCCGCCTCTTCTACCTCTTCCTCTTCTTATTCTTATTCTTTCTTGTCTTTTTCTTCTTATTCCAGTTTTCCTTTTCTTAAATCCTTCACCTATGCACGAGCGATGTCCTTGATTTGTTTTCGTATTTGCATAGCAAGGTTTCTCTCGATGTCCTGCTAGAGTTTGTTTTGAAATCCTATATCTGGTTACTATGAATTTGTAAAACGTTTTCTTTTCATTATCGCAAAGTGTTTGTATGTGTGCGTTATGCCTCTGAATGTGTGCGTGTGGGTTTGTGTGCGTGCGAGGGCACTGGGCGTTGAATAGAGGATACTAGTCGAGGTCGAGGGAATATGTGTCATTCGAAAAATATATGCAACTATACAAGAAAACCGAGCATCACTTTAAATATTCACATATTATGAATAAATGCAAGATGAAGGAGATTCTGTAATGACTTGTGTCCAGAACTAAAACTTAGCTTAAAGTGGGAGGATAAAAGGCACGTGATGAATTCTCCTCGTAAGGTATATTAAATGACGTATTTAAAGGGGAAAAAAAATAAGAAAAAACGAGGAGGCATTTTGGCATGTCCGCATAGCGTGTGTCTGTTAAACCTAAGGTTTAAAAATGGTTATGAATCTGGACCTGGTCGATGACTGAAGTACTTGACGTAGGTTAGGTTACATTGGAAAACATGTGCCCCTCTAATGGGACGTTAAGAGGAGGTTATGTGTATAGGAAAGTCCCCACCCCTAAAA